GGTGTTTAATGGGATTATAAATGACGCCTACTGATTACATCATAATGATTACATATGGTTAATTGAATAAAATCATAGAAAAAAGAAAGAGATTTACAGTTTAATGTATAATTCCTTTTTGGATACCCCTTATGAAATACAATAATAATAATAATGATCAAAATACAATGTAAAATACAATATGACAACTGTTCACTATGACGTCACGAGTGATATTGTTCCGAGATAAAATTAGAAAAAAAGAAAGAATTAAAAGTTAAAAAAATATGTATCCATATGTATCTGACATGGATAAATCGATCATTTTCCCCTATGCAATAATTATTATGTAACTATTTAGATCATATTGGATGTAAACGATCACAATGGATTGATCATTGGGTGGTGATCAATGTCATGTGTGTCAAGTCCTTATTATTAGTGCCGATCGAATGCTATCGACCATGATACAATGTGGCCATCAGTCTAGGTGATTAGACACTGCGTGCACTATTGTGAGATTAGATAGTGGTTGAAGGTAGTCGATACGAAACCTTGAACCCGGATTCACAGTCAGAGACGTTACGAGATGACGTTGGTCACGAATTCCAATAGAAATGGAATAGTCATTGTAAATTAATATAGAAATATGAATCAAAAGATGTTAGTGTATGAATCAGATTTTCGCGTACATAAAAATGTGATCATTATGTTATTTAGTTTTTACCAATGTACATAGTAGATTTTACTCGAACTATATCATAGTCTCTCAAACTATCCATCATTAGTACAAATATTAAGTTTCAATAGTTGAAATCATGAGTCAATTGAAACTAGACCACCATGGAAAACCTGGGATTACTGAACGACCGTCTCGTCTTATTGTAAGATTTCTCAGCAGTACACATCCAGTCCAGTGCCTTTCGGTGCTTCCAGGTTATCTATGGTGGTCTAGCTTCAATCCACTCATGTTCTCAACCATTGAAATTGCTATAATATTTACAAAATCCCTTCTGATAAGAAAGAATTTTGTGTCATGACTAGTCTGACCATAAATACGTTATGTAATCATACATATTTGGAATCTAAACTCCAACCATATATTTTCTGTGTGAACTGAAATATGTTTACTGTCTTTATAAAGGTATTGTGGAGATTGTTAAGTGTTGTTAAGATCACGAGTCGTTATAAGTTAGTTAACAATTAGAAACTAGGACAGGGTAGCTACTTTGTTCTAGTATATAAGTCATCAATTATGCGATACCGTGACCCAACGGCTGATTGAACCTATGTGTTAGGGAGATCCAAAAAAATTCCTCGAAAAACGCTAACAAAGGCCATGAAAACTCTGAGAAGCATCTTATCTAATCAGCATTCACAGGACGTTTTGCTAGAAACATCTAGAAAGTGAAAAGTTATGTTTCGAGTTCCTGATTGGATGATTACCTATACTGCTACGATGTTTAGTAGCGTTCCAGAATTTTCCGGGAACCTAAGGCTATCTAAAATACTAAAAAAACCTAGGTTTTTTATACATCAATGAACATTTGAAGTAAAGCATTTCTTCCATATTTCGCACCTCTTCTCTTGTGTTCATGTCCAATAGTTTATATATCTAACTAATAAATTCCCCTAATTGCGTAACCATCTTTCGTTGCCATTGCTGGCTACATTCTTAATACTAGACATAAATGAACAGCTCTTGTCACGGCTTCACATAAGAAATTCACCCATCTATTAGGTCAAATAGCGTCTTGGAATTTTAACTGATGTCAGTAAGTAGGTAGACACTCTCAAGATAACTTTGGAGTCGCTCAGAGGTCGTCCATAAATTATATATATATATACAGTGAATCAGAGAATCCTATACCTAATTGTATTCAATAATTTTTAATATTTGATAATATATTTCTTTGAAAAAGCTTAAACCAGATTCAGTCCCTGACCGTAGCTTCTACCTTAACGTGCTGGTCGGGCTTGCCTATCATGATGACCCAACCGAGTTATATTGACTGGAACATATGTTTATGCAGGTTCTACCGTGCCAGGCAGTTCGATTGGAAACGGTAAGACTAAAGCAGCAACTTAAGGTCTGAGGATGAAGTCGTATTGCTGACTGTGGAGGAGTGTGACAACAGTAAGGTGTTTCCTCCGGACAACCAACATTTGCAGCAATGCTGCCTTCTCACAAGGAAGGAAAGGGTTAGAAAAGGTCGGGTCTGAAAATATCACGCCTCACCTTACCTCACAGATTTCCGTCTCCGGAGTTAGGGCTCTTTAAAGAACAGAGCTAACACTTCAAAAACCTTCCACAAAAAGCCGTTCGCTATCGGCCTCAAACAGTTATCCCCTGAGCTTAAACCAAATTACTAGGCAAAACATTGGATTTAATTTACATTCATTCACTGAGTTTTTTTTACAAAGCCATTCTTTCTCCTTTATGTCTCCTATATTATTAACTCAGCAACTAAATACTGTGAAACTATTCTATTAGACTTAGATATAATGTTTAATATTACTAATATAGAGTATAAGTAGAACAATAAAACTATTTACTCACTATGGTATTCATGCATTTAGTTGGAAAAAAATTGTATAATATGTTATGTGCTATGTTTATATTAAGTTATATACAAAAAATGGTGTATTTACGTCACTCTTGACTAGAATCTATAGTAAATTCAGTAAAAGAGTTTTTCTTGTTGCTATGGCAACATGAAATGGATAAGTATAATCTATGTACATGTATCCTACCTATACAATGTATAATTGTAGAAAATGATACTCTTTAATTTAAAATTATAAAAAAAACAAATATCACCATGAATATCTATGAAAATGTTTTAAGTCATTTTGTTGTTATAAATCATATCAAATTGTTTTAAAATTGAAAATATTAAAGAGAAATTTATAATGTAATCATGAATTATAATGGAATTGAGAACATTCATTTCGCGCAATGTTGGATAGTGATTAGTAGTGGTATCCAAGATGCGTGTTTCATCCCATTTGGTACTCGTCAACTGAATGTACCAGCATATCAGAGTTGATTTTCCCCCCTGGGACTCAAACCCAATACTTTTCGCTTGAAACGCCATCACATTATTCACTTAGCTATTAAGTCTTGATAGCCGCTTGCTTGTGTAATAGGGTGAAGTTCAAATTGATTTTTGTTATTGTTTACTTGTATCTTTCCATTGTTATTTAAGAGTGAAGTTGATCAGTCTAAATCTTTTCATAACCATTTTTCTTCAATCTCTCCTCCTCATTAACTTAACTTTGAACTTTGTTCCAGAATGTAAAACAACCAATATTTTCCAAAATGATTAGTTCTTATCTAGTTTTATGATATTCTTAAATGAATATTCAAGATTCTAGTAATTACATATTATGTTTTTTAAACAGAACAACAATTTTTTGTTTTTGTTTTGTTTTCCTGAATTTGTTGCTGTACTCAATTAACTATTCTGTATACTAATGCTTACTTTACTTACTTACGCTTATTACTCCTAATGGAGCATAGGCCGCCGACCAGCACTCTCCAGCACACTCTGTCCTAGGCCTTCGTTTCTAGTTCTTTCCAATTCTTGTTCATTTTTCTCATGTCTATCTCCATCTCCCGGCGTAATGTGTTCTTTGATCTTCCTCTTCTCCTTTGGCCTTGAAGATTCCATGTGAGTGCTTGTCTTGTAACGCAGTTGGGTGCTTTCCTCAATGTGTGTCCTATCCACTTCCAGAGATTCTTCCTGATTTCTTCCTTCACTGGAATCTGGTTTGCTCTCTCACACAGTAGGTTGTTACTATTAGTGTCCGGCCAACGCATCTGAAGTGTTTTGCGTAGACAACTGTTAATAAACACTTCTATCTTGTGGATGATGGCTTTCTTAGTTGAAACGATCTTCTAGTTATACCTTGTTATTAATGTGAATGGCCTTTTACTTATCAACTGTCATCTTTAACTAATTACTAACCAGTTAGTTTTTAGATATCCAATATGTGCATACACTATCACATTTTATTTTCAGAGAAACATGATTTGGTATTTCATGTCAGTTAATCGACATTCAGTCACTCAGTCATTAACAAGGTAGGACTTCGTACGTATGTACATCAGTTCGAGTTGCCATCTAATTTAGTCATATCAATCACTTATTTGAATGATCTGACGAAAATAATATCAATCTGAAGGTGAACAAAAGATCTTTTTGATAGCTAGTTACTAGATTTATAAAAAGGAACCGTTGTTATTGGAGAATGGAGTACTTACCCACAAATAATAATAATAATAATAATAATTAAATAACTATCACTCAATATCTCGATTTCATTGACAGCTGAATTCTAAGTCAATAAATGCCAACTCAATGATTTAGAAGTTAAGTACTCACTACAGAACTTGAAGCTTGAGCAATCGATCCTCCGTGAAGTCGTCAATCAACACTTCTGAGGAATTTCATATTGGAACCAGACAGATTTCCAGTGGCTCCTTATTCTCACTCAGTCTAACTGTAGTCATCCCATGATATGACCTTCAAAATACAGTATTTATCTTTTACAATTGATTGGTCACTGGGTGGTGATCAATGTCATGCGTGTCTAGTCCTTATTAGTGCAGATCGAATGTTATCGATTATGTTGCAATGTGGCCACCAGTCTAGGTGACTCGACATTGCGGGCACTATATATTGAGATTAGATGGTGGTTGGAGATAGTCGATAGGAAACCCTGATGACTCGGGTTTCGTGCTACTTGGGACTCGTCAGCAAGGTGTACCTGTAATCTTGTGGGAGCTGGTGCTCCCTGACGGATTCAATTTCGTGTCACCCAGCTTCACAGTCAGAGACGTTACCAGTGAGCTATCCGAGCTGCGACCGACCTCCTGTAGGACTGAGATGTAATCACAATTGATTTATCTTTTAAATTGAAGTTAAAATTATGAATTTTCTTCTATTATACGTATAATACATTTATGTTTACAATCTTTACTACTAATAATATTCATTTTATTATATATTTTATAGATAGTAATTTTGTATTGGGTAATGCACAAGTACATGATTATCCTATTGTATATTGTTCTGATGGATTTGTTGAATTAACTGGTTATAATAGATCACAAATTATGTCAAAATGTTGTTCATGTAGTTTTCTTTGGGGTGAACGAACCGATGATAATGCAAAACAATCAATATTAAATACATTAGAAAAGAAATGTGAATTACAGATTGAAATACAATTTCATAAGAAGACAAGTAAGTAAATAATTTCTGACGATATTTATATCTCTATTGTTGTTATTGTTGTTGTTGTTGTTGTTGTTGTTAAATAAATCAACCATTGAGATGGTAGAGAAGATTTGTAGCTAAGGTGGATGATTTTGATGGAGTTTTGTTCTTTGAGCTGGATAGTTTGGTCGTGGAGCTTTCATTGTTCTTCTGAACAACATCATCAGCATAATAAGAACCAATCAACGTCGAGGTGTACAGAACAAGCTGTGAAACGTATATGGAGAAATTCGAACACTTCACTTCTATCTGTAGTTTGTGCTGATGATGTCGTTCAGAAGAATGATGAAAGCTCCACGAACAAACCATCCAACTCAGAGAACAAAACTCCATCAATAAATCAACCATTGTTCCTTGCGAATGAATGTTAAAAATGTTTGATTCCCTTTTATAAGTGTTAAATAATTTCTCTTTGCTTTCAAAGTTTAATAACATTAATAAAATGCTATGTATTTACCATTGTGATTGATTGCCTAACAATAATGTAAAAAGATTGAAGGTCGAATTCTCACGGAAATCAGATCACTGCAAATGTAGTTAGCGGAAAATAAAGGTGATTTCTACACCTATTTGAAACAAAAAAGAAACAGAATTGTAAGTTTTATACATTAAAACATAATAATGCAATGGATGAAAGCCTTAACATGTTTACATATTAAAAAGCCTATACATATATCTTAAATAGTTGCTTTTATTGTCTGTAAGCTAAATATACATACTGAACGTACAAGATCATGAATCAACTGAAGTTAATATATATATATATATTCATAATGACATTTGGATTCATAGGCTGGCCATCGTACGGCCGAAAGTTCGGGAGAGTTCGCTCTCCCTCTCGAAAGGCTTTCACATAGCCACTGCCTTCTTGTGGCGTGGTTGTTGTTTATACGGAGGTTCTACCTAGGGGAGTTCGATAGCGCTGATGCTGAACTAGTGGTGCACATGGGCTACAAGATCCTGAAGAAAAAATGGCGTATGAACCTATTGTTGGTCATCGGTTACCATAAGACTGTATCTTCGGACGTTGTTCCATTGCCTTGTGGATTAGACCTTTAAGTCGAAGGCTCCGTTTGTGACCTCCTAAGAAAACTACTTGTTTCGGCCTGGGCACTCGGGCAGTATCACAGTCTACACACAAATCCAGTGACTGGTGTGGCGCATATGCATTCGGTACCCCCTTGTACCGATATTTATATGTTCAAATAAATGAATAATAATAATAGCGTACTTACAACGAGATTCAAATGTTCATGGCTTAATCTGTTGTGTAATCATACATCATCAACTTATTAATGAAGCCTGGATTTTATTAGTTTCTCATTTTATATCAGAATGTAAAATGACTTATCTATAAATAACACATATAAAACTCTTATTGTAGGATTCGTTTACTGAATATTGTACGATCAGGATTTCTTACATCCATACGTTCACTTAAATCAAGAATAATTAAAACTTTTCATAATGTCATACTTTCACATGGCAAAATACTTAGTTTACTAATAGTTTTTCCGTAAATACTCGTTATGAACTTGAGTATTTGTTATTGAATATTATATGATAACATTACATGTTTTAATATACATACATACAGACTTACTTACTTACTTGCGCCTATTATCCCTCGTGGAACTACAACATTCTCCATCCAACTTTGTCCTAGATAATCCTTTACAGTTGTTATTCATCATTTTCACGTTTAGTCCCAATTCCCGATTCAATCTAGACCTCGGTCTTCCAGTTTTTTTCTTTACCTTTCAGGATTCTTAGTCAACGATTAGCTCGTGATGCTGCTGTTTAGGAATATTTACAAACATATAATTAGAATAAAAATTATGTTAAGATAATACAGTGTCCAATTCATTAAGCATGAAATTTCAATTTCATTAAATACTACTTAATTTAAAATTGTTATGTCCCGACAAGAATAATGAATGGTAACTATTGGGATCTATTGATAGACCAATATTAAACGTATATTTCTACTGTATAATTATTAAGTAACTAAACTATGCATATTCATATTCCTCTTATTATAAGCTTTATTTTGACCCATGAACTATTATTATACGTTTCAACATTCTTGAGTTATACCCAGTATATTAATTACTACCTCCCTAATTCACAGTCACATCTGGCTAATTCTTGTACAAATGCTGTTTCATATTTTATTGGTACGTTGTGGTCTGTTTGACTGGTATATAAGCTCAGTATGTTTGAAATATAATGATTCATATCGCAGAGGCTCGGATTGGTGCCTGATTAATGGTCCGCAGGTCAATCGCTTGCGTGAGAGACTGATAGGTTCTGGATTGGAATCTCACGAGTTGGGATCGTGGATGAGCACTACTGAGAAGTCTCCAGTGCTTTCAGGTTTTCTATGATGTTCTAGCTTCAATTGATTCATGATCTCAACCATTAAAATATACATATTACTTAAATTGTGAATCAACAACTGAATTCATTTTGATGAAATTAAATTTTTTTAATCATTTTAATTATAAAACTTATTATTGAACTTTCCATAAGGAAATATAACAATGTAGATTAATATCTAACAAATGAAATAAATTAATCCTTGAGAGGTTAAATTATTAGGTTAAAATCTACAATTGTTTTACATTGACAATTAACTACAACGGTTATTCAAACTAAATGAATGATGTTCTATGCTTTTCATAATATATGATTGTTTAAATGAATTAGTTATCAATTCGAAGGATGAAAATAAGCATAATTTGATCATTCATTTATTATAACAGTTGAACTCATAAGTTGATCAATGTTAGAGATTACCATTGAAAACCTGGTAGCACTGAACGGCTGTTTTGATCTAGTATGAGACTCTACAGTAATGCTCATCTACAATCATGATCGCGGGACTCGAACCTAGGAGCTTCAGTCTTCCTGGTGAATGCTATCCATCTCAGATAATGGATGAAGAGTTATGCAAGAGCATAGACCGATCAAAGTTAAGCATTACTGCTGTGGGATGCCGGTCGGCTCAGTGGTCTAGTGGCCAAGCGTTCACCCACAAAACCGTAGGTCATTGATTCGAACCTCGCGTGAGGGATCGTGGATGCCTAATGTTGAGGAGTCCTATACTAGAACGAAACGACCGTCCAGTGATTCTACGTTTTCATTGGTGATCTAGCTTAGATCAACTCATAGTTTCAACCGTTAAATTACTACAATCTCCACACATCCTTAGTCTGATAATTTGTTTATTGATATATGAATTTGTATCAAGACAGATTAACAACTAAAAGAAATTACTTTATTATATCCAAAATCACATTTCATATTATTCAACATTAATCAAACATATGAATGTTATTTGATAGTATTCAAGGACTGATTCAGGTAACTTGACGACTCTAGATTGAATTTAACATTATAGAATGTTTTTGGTTGAGATCATGAATTAATTGATGTTAGACCACCGTTGGAAACCTGGAAGCACTGGACGGCCGTTTCGTCCTAGTATGGGACTCCTCAGCAGTGCGCATCCACGATCCCGCACCCCGCGGGATTCGAACCCAGGACCTACTGGCTTCGCGCCTGAGCACTTAACCATTAGACCTCTGGGCCGGCATCCAATGGTGTTAGTGTCTAACATCAACCAATCCACGAAATTGCGCGACCACCTTCCATTGTACTGAGGTAGATACCTGTCTCTACCCGACACGGATTAGAATGTTATTATGCATCAACATGTGAAATATCAGCTTGTAAGAAACTAAACAATTTCGAAAATTGTCTTATCATTTACTATCTACTGGTTATACTGCTCGTTTACGTGCCAGAATCGAAGAAAAAAAAATAAGACACCGTTTATTTTTTCTTTACAGAAGGACTGACCTGCGTCAACACCTGAACTAAGGATAGGAAGTGAAGTAGTCGACGAGTTGACAATTTCACTTATCTTGGAAGTTTGATCAGCCCTAATGGGTTAGTGTCTGACGAAATCTCTTCGTGAATTCAGAAATATCGTTTGGCTTTTGCCGAATTGCATCATCTATGGCGAAGGCGAGATATCCGTCTATCAGTTAAGGGACGAGTGTACTGTGCGGCAGTTCGTATGCTACTAGTGTTTGACCACAGATGCCTTAGAGGTATTTCCAACATCTGCTGGGATCACCGAGTAAGTAATGGAGAGGTTAGACGTAGAGCATTAGGGAATGATGGTAAATCAGTTGATAAAGCTGTGAATCTTCATCGACTGAGTTGGTTGGGCCACGTGTTTCGCATGCTTGAACACCGATTACCACGACGCACAATGCTGACTAGTGTTGGGAATGGTTGAAAGAAAGTTGGAGATGGCCGAAAAAACCTGGCATCAGTGCTTGAAGTCACTAATTTCTAGTCTGAGCCATGTTGGTAGATACACACTACTTAGTTGGGGTCCGCGTGACTATCGTAACCAATGGTTAGAGACTTTTGGTGACATGGTTCATCACGATAGCGTCGGTGTATACATTTTTGTCTTCCCTTAAACTATGAGATTAAAATCACTTCATATTTGTCTTTCTACGAACTAATTCCCTCTTCCTGTACTATATCCTTATATGCAATCTTTCTTTTAGATATTACCACCTCTGAATTAACTACTTTTATGAATCCGGTGTTCATCTTGTTGTGCTAATGATGTGTGGAAACTTGAACCAATGCATATATGTGCCTGGTCCTACGTTGTAGCTGACTGACTGACTTTTTTTCTTTGTTGTTGATTACTCTATCTTAAATAACAATGAGAAGATACAAGTAAGTAATACGAGGCGAATATAACTTCACCCCATTGCACAAAAAAATGTCCATCAGGATTTAGTAGCTAAGTGGATACCGTGATGGCATTTGAAGCGAATGGTACTGGGTTCTAGTCCCAGAGTGAACATCAATACAGATGCAGGTAAATCCAGCTGACAAGTCCCAAATAGGACGAAACGCATATCCTGTATTCCACT